AGACCCAATCCAGAAGTACCTGACTGTGCAGATGGGCCACGCCCATGACTGCTTCCCTCATCAGTTTTATCATCATCGTGACCCTGAGCGCCATATATGAGAAAGTGGCAATCATGATGACTGACTCTGGTAAGCTCCTCCTGCAGCTGAGGTCATTTCTACACCAGTTTTAAAACCAAGTCATAACAGAGACTACCTTTTAGGCACTTAAATTCCAGTACATTACAGTCTTTAGAAAACTTCAAGTGGAAACGTATTTTCTCTAGCCTTTGTGAGAAGTGGATTAGCTCCAGTTTGCATTAGTAAAAGGGACAAAGGAAGCATTAGAATGTCCAAGCTCTGTGTAAACTGGTCAGTGCTTAATAATAATTTCAATTGCATTAGATCATATACCCTATTTTTGAAAGTAAATAGTCTCTGTATTGCAAATAAGTGGAAGAAGGTCGTGGTTCCAGTGGCAGATTTGCTTGTGCGTTATGGAGAAGACAAGATATCACAGTGCTTTGTGTCTTCCTCCCATGCTGTTCTTGTTAGGGCAGCTCCATTCTCATCAGCTGTGGCTTCTATAATAAATGTTTCTTCTCCCTGGCTTGTATCCCAGCCAGCGGCTTAGTGGCCCAAGTTAAGTGTTTCCCACACGCTGCATGTGGCTGGGTCGTTCTCCCAGTGGTCTGTTCAGGTGTCATCTTCTGAAAACGCTAAGACCAATTCAAATTCTGAACTAGGAGTTTGACCCGTTTTATGTTCCCCAAATACTTCTAGCAAGTTGCCCCGTGTTTTGTTTATTTTCTTCAATAGTCCTACCATACTGCCGTTCAGGGAGACAAGAGAATACCATTTAGCAGGATGTTTAAAAGTAGCTTTCTGTCAACTTACACCTGACAGAGGACAGTTGTTGCCCATTGGATACTGTTGTGCTTATAAATTTTAAGGAATGGCTGACTTTTTTTTTTTTTGCCTTGTGGGAAATTGCGTTCATAGTGTGAGAAACTCTTACAACAGTGTGTACACTTGGAATTAACATAGTAGCTATGTTAAGGAATTCAAGACATCATAAATGAAAACAATGTGAATTGTGTATATATATCTATATCTATATCTAGATATATCTATATCATGAGTTATATATAGATATATATATATTTACCGTGTTAACTCATGTGTCCGTGGCTTTGATTAGGGTCTCAAAGCCGTTCACAATTTTGCAGACTTAACTTTT